GAATTTGCACACATTAAACAAGTAAGTATTTATCTACTCTGGTAAACGCATAAACAGAAAAGGCTGTGGGACTACAGCAGGGTCCGCAATTACACGTCGGCCACAGCTTTTCTATGTGATTATTGGCTACAGTGAAGCTGGAAAAAAAATATTGCTGTTGGATTTTAATGTCTTCAGATGCTTTTAAGCATCCCTGAGACTAGAAAGGCACTATAGAATTTTGCAAATAAGCTACCTTTTTCCCTATTTGTACAGCATGTTTTTAGCAAAGAAAAACATGTGTGGGAAACAAGCAAATGCACTTTTCAAAATTAATTTGTGTCAGGGATGAAGCTGTCTCCAACTCTAATTTTAATTTGAAAAGGATTTCATCACTTGATATTTCTCTTTGTCGACATATCTACATGAGTTTCTCATACAGTTTTTTTTACGACAGTGGAAAAATCTTGTGAAAACCATGCTATGAGTTACATATTTTAACATACACCCTGTCTGGCTACATTTTAACCCAAGAAGCACTCACACATGCCTAGACCTTCAAATTCTCTTGGTGAGCTTAATATTAAGGCCTCTACTTCAAAATCAAAATGGGTAAATTTTCATTTTTATTTCTATGAATTAGGTTAATTTATTTTGAGACTGTATTTAGTACAACTAAAAAAAAATTCAATAATGCAAACTGTACTCAGTATTGATCAGTATATCAAGAGTTCGATATTTAGATGTAGATGATGTAGCTTTTCTTCTGGTGTTATTCAATTATCTAAACTCTATTAACGCAGGCATATTTTAATCATAACTTAGGTGAACAAATTAAAATAACAAAGCAGTTTAACAAAGTAATCAGTGATGGGTTAATTACGTAATACTTGAAGACATGATTATGAGACCTTAGTTTAAGCAATTAATAAGTCTAACCATTATGGTAGTTTGACATCTACTTGTGCACTGCTAAGAGTGATGTAATCCATGCTGCTTTTAAGAAAGCTTTGCTCCTGAAAGAAACTCTTGGGTTAAGATTTTGTCTCTTTTGAAGTTAAGATTTTGTCTCTTTTGTCTCTGCTACAATTTGGAACTGGTTACATTAGTTGTAGTACATGTATGAACCAGCAAATAATAAGCCATTATATATTCTTCCATGATGTTTTCAAAGCATTTCTGGTCACATCATATCCTATTTCTTTTTTTCAGTCCACAAAATGGAAACCAGAATTTAAATCATTGTTTTCTCCTATGATCAGGAATGAGTTTTTCTGTAGTTTAAAAAAAAAAACATTGTACGTGGGCAGAGAGAACATGCGAACTTGTCTAGTGTCCAAAATTGGAGCCACTATGTGTAGCAATTTGGGGTTATTAATTTTAAATGCTAAAAACACAAATACATATGGACAACACCAATCGTTAAAGTCTTTAAATAATGTTTAAAATTGAAATGGCTTTCTTCAATATATTACCCAATAGTCTCTGTAAACATCTTGTAAACCTATTTTATTTAGTAGGACACACTGTGACATACAACTGCTATTTGCCCAACCAGAAAATATCCCCTATATCTTCTATACTAATACTATGCTGATTTTGTCCAGGTATAAGAAAGGGATGTACTCAGAGGCAAAGTGAACCCTTTAACCCCAGAGCATGAATTACGTTTGGTATAATTCATTCATGGTTAATTCATGAACTAGTGTTAGTTATTGTTTCAGTGTGGGCATGTGAATCAGTCCTGAGCAATGAGACATGAAAGGACATTTGCTGGGAAATACCCTGGGACTTTTTTCCCCTCCTTCTTAAGTGAAATTTACAAGATGCTCTAGGAGAACTGAACTTGCTGCCTTTGGTCACAGTGTGAGGACATGATGCCTTGAGTTGCTGTAATTATGATGATGAAAGCCCAGAGAACTGTAGAGAAGCCTTTTTGGAAACTCTACATGTTTGAATTGCTGAACTAATCAATCCTGGAAATACTCACCTCTGATTTTTCAGTTATACTTAAGCCACATTTAATTGGATAATCTGTTTCTTAGAACAGAAGATATCTAATGGACACTCATATCATAGATACTTTAAAAGATATCCTACAGGAAGGTTTATTATGTTACTAAACATTTATAAGTGTTCAAAGAATATTCTTTGAAAAGAAATTCAAATCACATAGTATTTAGGAGTGAGAAGGATTCATATAGATCTAACATTTGTTATTTTTGCCTACTTGAGTCTATTTCCTTTTTTCTATAAACTATCATCTCAATATGTCTTTCAAGCCTTCCTATCACTGGCCCTGTCCTCCCATTGATAGATTATAAATGGTCTGTGATCCAGGCCTGATCACTTTGATGGGTTTGGTGATACCCAGATGAACCCACCCATAACATCAGACTCCAACTTGGAACTTTCACTTCTGGAGTTCCTTGTGTGGAAGTATTTAAAGCTAGAGCTGCTGGTAACCATCTTGCTACCATGAAGGTTGAGAGCCTGTAGGAGAATCTGCTTTGAGAAACGCATAACTGCAGAAAAGAATGAGAAGATTCCTGATGAAGTTACTTGACTCACTGGATCCAGCACTGCCTAAAGAAGAAAAACCCCAGACTCTTCAGTTATATGAGTTAATAAATTCACTCTAAGTTGAATTTCTGTCATATACAACCAAAAAGTCCTTCTTAATAAACTCAGTGACCTATTTTGAGTAGACTTATTTATAGAACTCACTGTATGAGTCATATGGAATACTTAGAATTGTTCCAATAGAATATATTGTGATTTTTACAATGGTATCTAATTATTAAATATAATTCCATAGGCTTTATATATTAAAATTATTTTTAAAAACTTAGACTAATTTTTCTGTGTATATTATTTATTAACTTCTATTATGGAGCTTTTATGGACAGACTGACATCTTTCAATAGCACTTACTTAATCTTTGAAAAAGGTAATTTATCTTTTTGGAATTCACTGCCCACTAATCCTATTTGTATTCATCTGCATTTTTTCTGGATTCTTGTATTATCTTAGACTTTTTTGCACTTTTTTTTATGTCTAAAGATAATTTCTGTTATGTTTTTTAATATCATTGGCTGTTTGCACTGTATAATGGATACGTTTTTTGCTCTTTTAATATACTAATTCTCTCTTTCGTTGTCCTTTAACTGCCAATGAAGTCATTGACTTCCTTATGTCCATTATATTTTTGTGTTCTAGAAGTCTAATTTGATTATTTCTAAATGTGTTTCATCATTGTTTCTTGATTTTCCATAATTTCTAATTTCTTTTTAATTTCAACTTTTGCTTCTTGAAATATATTAAATTTACTTAATTTATCTTTTAATTGATTTTATTTTCAAAATCTGGTTTTTTTTTTTGAGGGTATAATTCTGTCGCTTGTTGTTTCTGTTAATGCTTTGTCATAGTGGCTTTCTCCTAGTGTGTTTCTGTGCTTTTTATCTCTCAGTTCATCATCATTGAGACATTACCTGGGGGGACTATGCTGAGACCTGAGTTTGAGGAGATTGCTCTAAGCATGACTTGAACATGGGTCTTTTAAACATGAGTCCTAATCTGAGACTACACACTTAGTTTAGGTTTATAAATCAATGGTTAGTGTAAACCCTGGATCCATATCTGAGCGAGAGGTGGTTTGTAGTCAAAAATTCTCAGGGAAGACTTTTGTCTGCCTCCTCAAAGCCAAGTCCAGTATGGGTAAGTTTCCTTTTTACGTTTCTTTTTCTCATCCTCCTCCCCCTCCCCTTGCTGAGAGTATTTCTTTTGCTTTCAGTTGTTTTACTTGAAGTTCTTTAACTGACTTTCCACCTACGTAGGCTCTCAGCTTTGTTTTGGGTCCCTTAAGGTCTTGATCAACAGAGATTTTTCAGTGCCTGGGATAGCTGTCAGGAAGAGCACCTCATTGGATTTGCATTTTCTCAACATTTTTAGCCTCTAAGGAGTACCTCAATTTTTTGCCTACTCATCTAGGCAGTGTATTCAAAGGGTTTTCTTAAAAATTACATTTTGTCCAGCAATTTCAGGTGTTTGATATGCCTTAAAAAGAAGTAGGTGTATCTAACCCACCATTCTGCTAGAAATGGAAGTCCCCTTTCCCTGTTTCTTTAGGGTGTAAACATTACTCATACATCGCTGCTATGTGAGGCCTCAACATCCCTGACTCGGTGAGGTTCTTTCATGAGGTACATACTTCCTTGGTAACAAAGTCAGATACTGATTTTTCATTTTTCTGTCACCCTATTTTCAATTTCACCTACTTCCAACTTAGTTACTTTACTGTAATTTATGTACCTCTTTGAACTATTGTAAATCCTTTTTGGAAGAATATAATATGAATAAATGTGTGAAACAAAGCAAATATTTAAAAATACCTGTTTTTAATCTTTTTATGGTTTACAAAAGTGCATTTTTACATACATTATGCTATTTTTGTTTTCTCCAAAATATAGGCAGTGAGGGTATTCTCATGTAGCCAAAAAACGATTCCCCAGGTGGTAATGCCTGAATCAGAATCCAGATTCTAAACCCTGGTCCAGTGCTCTTGTGCTTCAGGAATATTTCGAATATTTAGAAAAGACAAAATAAATGAAGTTAACTGTACATTGCAAACCCCCTAAACTCAAGTTATCAGGGTATTCTTTAATTGAAGATGAAATTGCTATAAAGTCTGCTTTCCCCAACACATTTAATTCTAGCTTCTGAAATACTTTTAATTGTTGAAGAATTTATTTGTGACAAATCATTTCCTACTTATATTTTAGATCAATTATATACCATTTGATGGACATCTTATACAGAACACTTTGGATACAATTAATTAACTTACATTAATTAAATTAATTCTAGAAGAATCAGTTTACCTGTTTAAATGTGAGACATCGCCAAAATTCAAAGATTATTACAGAAAAGAATAGAGCACAGCTATAATAGAGGCAGCTTATTTTCCTCTTCAAAGTGACAGATAACTTTTCCACACTCTATTTAAAATGAGCACCACTTACAGCTTTATCTGTATAGGTCTCTTCATAAAATGTTAGTATCAGAGCAAACTGTACAACTGCATATGTCTTTAATAGCCGAGATGCTGTTGATGAGAAGGGAACGTCTTCCCCCTTGACCTAGGAAGATAAGAAAGAAGTCTTTCCATTATATTGTTTCCTTATCTCTCTCAATGAAATTCATACTAAGTGAAGAGGAGAAATGCAAAAAGAAATGAAAGGTTTTGCTATCTTTTTTAATCCTCAAAATGACTCTAATGTTTATTACTTTGGATAGAAAAAAATGTAAAAATTAGGAGACTTGTTTTTCATTTCAGAAGCATTATGATTCTGATCTACTCTGCTTTATACAGAGCACTGTAAGAATTGATACTGATGATTAACATAAACAAAATGAACCTGTAATACGAAATATGAAAATATATCCATGATTATACATCAAAGTATAGCAAAAGAGAAAACGGAAGGTGATTTGGGATAGTGTAGATAGTCATGCTTCAAAGGCAAATACTGTCTTATTGAAAACAGCTTTCCCAAACTACAGTTTCCCAGAAATAATATAATCCTATCCTTATAATGCAGATTTAGGCATCAATATGATTTTAAAACATTCACTTTGAATTATCTATTGCAAAAAAGGAAAATAATAAATGAACCATAGCTGACTAGACTTTCTGGAGCTGAAATAAGCAAATTATTTCCACCTATATCAAGTTAGATCATTGTTATAAAACTAACTGTGAACATAACCAAGTGCCTGGAAATTCCAACACAGCAGCTTTCATAAGTGGATGAGAAAATATCCTTATTCAGATCAGGATTTTTGAAAAATAACAATATTCAAATAAAACATATTTCATTTTCTTGAATACTGGCTAATTTTTATACTCATAATTATCTTTGAAATCAACAGTAGCTTATTGTTTCTGTATTACTATCAATGACAGTTATTTTGATAAGCAATCTCAATACATATCCTAAATGACTGGAAAGAAATTCCTTTTCCTCCATTTCATAAGAGAAATTCCATATTGAAACTGAATTTTTCATTTGATTTTCAGTGTTTTAAACCTCTACCTCGTTTATTTTTAGTTTTTCATGGGATTTCTGTATTTAATGCTACTACGCCACTATGGAATGAATAAAGTTGTAATCTAATCTAATAACCACATCATTTCGGTATGACTTTAGACCTATTATTCTGGAGACCTCAGTTTTTCATGGACAAAATGAAGGCTCAACTGAGTCTTCTCTAAGGCTCTCAGTGACGGATCCATAAGTGTCTGTGTGGTTTCTGCACTACACAAAGGCTCTCGGCTGTTGGTTTGAGCCAAGAAAACCAGCCTCTGCTGCTCTGCCCCAAACCATGCTCCCTAGTAAGAGGGCAGTGTCAGCCTAGGAGAAGGCACCCCTCTTAATGGCCCCAAGGTGGTGTCCACTTATTAATTTACACATTACAGGGCTGTATCTGCCTAAGGGAACATCTTTTTTCAGATTTGCATGAAGTCAGCATGTATTACAGGCTGGCTGTAGACCTGACAATATGAAATTAATCTTTGCCATCATCGAATTCATGAACTTTATTTACCTCTGGAATTTCTTCATTCAGTCCAAGTCTTGGTTTACCTGGACCCCATCCTGGTCCTTTAAATATGACAGAAAACTTATTAAAGAATCCAGGTGTGGCCCAGAATGTAGTCCATATGGTAAGTAAATGGTGGAACTAGAAGAATAAAAATATAGTCTATTTAAGATAAGAAAAGACCATAACAAAAAAGATTAAATACATTAAACCATGGATTTTATTTTATTGTTTAATGTAACTTACAAATTATTCTTTATAGGTTATGTATAATTTGCTAATATTGATTAATATGCAATTGCATTACAAATTGAAATTCATTCTATGCATTCTGCATACCTTTACATTTAAATGTGTTCTTGTCAATATTTCTGAAGCTCCACAAAATTATAAACAGGAAATTTAATAATAGGGCAATTGTTTAGAAAATTAGCAAAAAATAAAAAGTGAGTTCAGAGAATTTGCTTCCAATGGATTTAACTAGCAGCCTGTGCACTCGACAGCCACATCGAATGACATCTTTTTTAGACTCGCTAAATGGTTTTTAAAGTTGAACATGGAATCATACAAATATTGCATATCTGTTATATATTTTTAAAATAATCTTTTATTTAATGTATTGAATTACAGACAAACACCTCATTTTAAGAAAAAATGTTCAAAACCATTTCTGATGGTAGACCTCTGAGGATTAAATAGATAGACCACATTCTGTAAGAGGAAAAGTTTGCTGAGTCAGAAGTTTACCTTGAGGCTTATAGCAGGAATTCACATTCTTTAAATAACACACATTTGATATGTATAAAGTTAAAAGTATGCCCACACATGACAAGGACTCAACAAATACTGGCTATTAGGATAAATAGCTATACATATCATATATGTTATAAAAATGTATCATAGGATTAAAAATAATCCTAGATATTGGGCATCAGCTGTTGACTCTCGAAATGAGTTCTACTATACATGCAGTGATAAATTAATGTAGAAAGAAGTTATGGCTCTATCAGAATTTGTGGTCTCATTGGTATTTTCACTATCTCTTACAGAATTTAAACTGCTAGCATTATAAAAATTGTTTTTTAATTTACTTGAAATATTATAATAAGGAATCTGAAGCAATTAAGCAACCATGTAGGATTTAGCTGAGCAGATTTTAAAGAAAAAGGAGATGTTAGATGGAAACTTATCCTGAGGCTTTGCAATAATAATAACACAGAAAATTAATGTTACAACACGCATTAATATATTTACCTGTTTTATTATTTTAAAAACTGAGTACCAGACTTCCCTGGTGGCAGAGTGGTTAAGAATCCACCTGCCAATGCAGGGAACACTGGTTTGATCCCTGGTCTGGGAAGATCTCACATGCCGCAGAGCAACTAAGCCCATGCGCCACAACTGCTGAAGCCCGTGCGCCCTAGAACCCACACGCCACAACTACTGAGCCCATGTGCCGCAACTACTGAAGCCCATGCGCTCTAGGGCCTGCATGTCACAACTACTGAGCCCACGTACTGCAACTACTGAAGCCTGTGTGCCTAGAGCCCGTGCTCTGCAACTAGAGAAGCCACCGCAATGAGAAGCCCACGCGCCACAGTGAAGAGTAGCCCCCACTCGATACAACTAGAGAAAGCCTGCGTGCAGCAACGAAGACGCAACACCACCAAAAAAAAAAACCTGACTGAAATTTTACTGCTATCATTCTAGACACAAACCATGAGAATACAGGGCTTTTAAATAGGGAGTACTTTCTTACTTACTTGTTTTCCAATGCCCTGAAACTCTTGGACTCCAAAGGAAAACAAAATGAATGGTCTATACCTAGTATTAAAGGGTAGTAGGGTGAATAATTTAAATCCTGAGAACCTCAGTTTCATCCACCAAAAAAGTGAGGCTAAAAAGAACCACTACCTTATAAGGTTTTAGTAATGGTTAAATTAAACACGTGTGCTGTTAGCAATGTCCTGCACATAGTAAAAGTTCAATAAATGTCCATTTATTTTGTTACTTTAACTTTCTTTAAAAACCTTGAAGAAGTAGCTTTGAAAAGCAGACCCAACGTGAACCTGTACTTTCTTCCCTTTCTGAATGCTGTATATCCAGTCCCCTGGACAGAGCTGTCATTGACTGGCCTCTTCATTTTTTCAAGCATTTTTATCTTTTTCTCATTTACTAGTCCTGACCCCTGGGAGTGTCTGCGGTGCTCTGCTACTGACGGATCAGAGCTTCACAGACATTCCTCATTTCTCTAGTGCCAACCATTGAGACCAGCGAACAACCAATACCACATGTCTGACAGAAAACTGGTCCAGGGCAACAAGTCTTAGCAGGTGAGGCAACGTGCAAACCTAACCAACCCGTAATAGCTCCTGACACCTCTGCCCAAGAAGAGGAGGGCAAAGGCCTCACCCTGAATTTCTAACCAGAGTCATGCAGGCTTGAAGCAAATATTTTTCTTACTCTGGGATCAGCCTTAATTATACATTTTACTACCACTCCTTCTGAATACATGAATATATTTCAGGTCTATTCTGAGAAAGGGTATGTTTGCTAAAGAGCTATTTCTTTTAATTCTAGGTAACAGACATATTTTAAAATTCTTACAATGAATTGTTTTCAAATGTATTCTGCCCAATTTGATTCAAGGCTCTGAGTGCCAGAGTTATTTCTAAATTCTTTTACAGTTAAAATATATATTTTTTAAGGCTAGTGTAATGTACTTCCACCTTTCAACAGCTGATTTTTTTTTTCAAATATAAAATTTATGAAAGGATGGAATCAATTCAGAAGAAATAAAACCAAGCACATTACCTGCACCTTGAAAGGTTCAAATGAATTAATGGGATGTGTTAGACCATATACAACTTTTTCCTTTTCTGCCTCAAATGTTCCTGGAAGATAAACAACAACGATATGATTTTTGACTTTCTGTGAATGAAGGAGCTAATTTAATTTTTTAAATGCTCATAGTTTAAAGGAGCTAATTTAATTTTTTTAATGTTCATGGTTTTTACTTACCAAAAATTCTATCCCATATAATAAGAGCTCCGGCAAAATTTTTGTCTATGCAATAACGATTTCTGCCTATGAGACAAAATATTTTTAAAAATTTTTTTGAAAATGGAAGTTATACTTTTTGAAACAATGATATTCCTAAAAATATCTTTTCACTGACAACACTAGACTTTATTTTCTAGTAAACTGAGTATTTATTTTCCAATTGATTTTACTAAAAAGAGCAAAGACTTCCTTAAAGCCATAGATATTTAGAATTATCCCAGATTTTTAAAAAAAGCATCGTTCACAATTTTTCTGGTCTTTAAAAATCTGGGATAATTCTAAGTAATTCTTTTTCTTAAGACTATTAAAGAGTAATAATTAAAAATTAAATGGTCCAGAACAAAAGGCAATATGAAATAAGATAAATATCAATAATATATGCTTTTTTTTTTGATGTGATCTTTACACCTTTTCACCACCTCTTTTCCACGAAGAAAATTTTCCACTTACAGTAAGACTTTCCTATTGTTTTCATCACAAAAGACATAAGTAAAAATTAAGTTACCTTTGATTATATTCATTGACTCAAAACATACATGATATTTTAATGCCCCAAATACTTAAATAATAGTTTAAATTTAAATAGTTGGACATAGTTTCCTAACTTAAAAAAATTAAATAAACACAATCATATCCACATGATTGTAAATCAAAGGAAAAAGAATATTAATCCACCAAGCCACTACTCCAATAAATTCAACTGTCTTGACATGTCCTCATTTCTTTACACATCTTCTATACATGCAAATGTACACATGAACGTAAAGGTACAAGGAAAATTCTCCCCTGGTACAAAAGTAGAGTGGGGCTGGCTACACAGATCCACCATTCATTGTCACACGTAGGCTAAACAGTGGCTCCCAGTTGGGTGAGGGAACACTTTGAACCTCAGGGAATATATGGCAATGTCTGGAGACACTGTTAAGAGTCATAACTGGGAGGGGATACTATTAGCATCTAATACGTAGAGACCAACATCTTATCATACACAGGGCAGCCCGCACGCTCAACCCGCATTCCCAAGTGAAGAACTATCTGGTCCAAAATGTTAATAGTGCAGAGGCTGAGAATGCCTGATATAAAGCAACATGCATGCGAAGGTGCTCTAAGGCCAAACAGGAAACTAGCAACTATTTCTTCTTCAATGTGGACATGTTTTTCTCCAGTCCTTGTGTTTCCTTTAATATGGAGGGAACAGCAAGAGCATAATGCTCTTGACCTCTGCACCAACTCAGTAATAATTCCCTGGGGTGGAGGTATGACTGTGGAGTTTGGAAGGGGAAACTGCACATGTGCAGCAGGACCCCACCCTCTCCCCACCTGGAGGAGCTTGTACTTCTGCTCTGCTCCCTGCCCCAGGGAAAGGGACCTGCCCACCTTGGGAAGGCAGGCCTGACGTGTGCCAGTACTACTGCCTGTGATGCCTGGACACTGATAAAAACGGAACAATAATATTTATTATTTTCTTACTAGCTTCCTTCTCTCAAAATGGCACTTGTGAGATTTATTCATGCCATTACATGTTATAATAGTTTGGACATTTTCATTGCAATATAGTTCTCCATTACATGAATAGTCTACAATGTATCTGTTCTATTGCTGACAAACATAAGAATTATATCTTTTTTTCCTATTACCTAATACAAATAATGCCAATATGCACACTCTTGTACAGGTCTTTTGGTGCGCAAATGTAAATACTTCTGTTATTTCTTAACCTAGGGTCTTTGAACCTTAGGCACTAGTCACATGGGATATTTTTCTTTGTCAGGAAAAAGCAGTGTATGTTGAGTTTGTTCATAGAATTTAGGCAGGGAAGTGAAGTGTTGTTTATTAGGCTTTCCTTAAATACCAACAGTTTTTAAGACCAAGACACTCTGACTGTACATAGGAATGACCCTCAGCATGGGGTCAAGGAGTAACTTTCAACAAGCTCCTCACAATATGAAGTGTGTACCCCCTCAGCTGGTTAAATCTTTTTTCCATTACATCTGAGGAGAGCTATGCAAAAAGGAAATTCAAAAGTCAGCTATGGAGAGGATTTTGTTTTGTTTTGTTTTCCTCCAGTCCTTTCTTTATAGATGAGGTTTGTCCAGGTACGAAGGAAGAAGCAAATGCCTATTTGCAGTGTGTGGTGACTAGGTTGGGTAATTGTGCTGAAGTGATACAAAATAATAATGTCATTTTTCAAGAAATGAGGAAGGAATGAAAGAAGAGATCGAATTTCCTCACCATGATGAACCCTATGATGGCTAGGAGTATTAAGAATCAGTTCCAAAGGACCAAGGTTATCGATGACCTGTTTAAAAGAAAAGGAACATAGTTATTAAATTATATATAATATTTAAGTACTCACATTAAAATCCCATATGGGTTAAGAAATATTGCTAGTTCCATGGTTGGCATCAGAGTCCAAGGAAGGTTCTTTATCTTCTGGTGTTCATATAAAGATAACAATGAGCTCATCACGATATTCTAAGAGACGATATAGTATAGTAGTGAGGTTAAGAGTAGTGAACTGACTGCCTCAGTTCAGTTCCTGAATCCTCTATTTATTATTATGTGGTATTGGGGAAATTACTCAAGCTTTTTATAAGTCAGATTCCTTATCTTTAAAATGGAAATAATTGTATCTACATAATAATGTTCTGAGGATTACAAATGTTACTGTATTTAGATGCTACTATTACCAAGGCATACTTCTTTAAGTTTCATGTCATTTTATGTTCTTCACCCATCAGCTATGTCTTTGATGACTTATGTTAACAGAGCATAACTAGGCGAAGGGAAATCCAGTATTATATTCGTTTTCTGGAGTTGGTTTCACCCAATAATCAGTCATGCAGTAACTTAGTACTGCAGTTGAATTACGGTGATCCTTGCTTATTCAAATAGACTCCTAAATGTTCTCTTACTGTAGATGCCCCATCTTCCAGTCCATTTCTGAGGCACGATTCAAAGTCAAATATGTAAAGGGGCTTTTTTGGAATTAAAGACCCTTTAAAATCGCGTCTGTTATTCTCTAATGTTCTCTCTCAACATTTCTCAGTAAGAACCCCCTATGCCAGAGTCTGCACACTCTAAAGAGTGTAGAAACCAGGTAGTTACCATAAATTAGAACAGCAGGCCATATTTAAGATATCCATTATGTCATACAGTTAATATTGGACAATGTGGGAATGCTTTTCATCTCAGTTACATTATTCTTTCTTCCATCAACCATGGCACATAACAGTCTTTTACTTTTCTTTAATCACATTCTAAATAGATCTCTTAGAGCCTATTTATGACAAAATCAATACATTGATATTTTAAGAAATTACTCACCTTTAAAGTTAACTTCCATTTAAAGAATATATAAGGAATAAAGTAATATGTTAAATGCTACTTAAGGGGAAAAATAGTCACTGAAATCGTAACACTGACACGCATTTGGCAACAAGTCAGTGGTACGAGAAAAAACAGGGAGCTGGGACTGCTTCAGATGAAAAGATATTTAAGATATATAACAACCAAACGTATTGTGGGGACCTTGTTTAGATACTGATTTGAACAAACCAAATATAAAAGACATTTTATAGGCAATGAGTGAAAACTGATTATAAACATAGTATGACATGATAAAAATACTGTTTTATTATGAGTTATGATGGCATTGTCATTGCATGAGAAAATGTAATTGTTTTTTAAGAGTTGTATAACTAAAGTATACATGACATGAGATCTAGGTTTTGCTTCATCATATATGGCAATGAAAAGGAAAAAGAAAAAAAGAATAACTGATGAAAACGAATCAAAATCAGTGTTTTTATTGAAATATAGTTGATTTACAATGTTGTATTCATTTCAGGTGTACAGCAAAGTGATTCAGTCATACATATCTATCTATTATCTATTATTTTTCAGATTCTTTTCCATTATAGGTTATTACAAGATATCATAATGATTTTTAAATTGAAGTTATGGAGCTAGAAACATTCATTCTATTATTCTCTCTACTTTTCTGAATGTTTTAAAATTTTTAAGACAAATTTAAATAAAAGAAATTACTACTCTAGTAATATACAGTAATGCTCAGTTAGTCAGTTGAAAATATTAATATTGATAGAGCCCTATAGTCCCAAACATACATCTATGTTGTAACTCTTTATATAGCAGGGTTTAATAATTTTTTGGCAACCTCTGACACTGAAACACCCAATTTGCAATTGCTCTGCAGATGTGCACAGCCACAGGAGCCACACGGTCCTCAGCTTGTGGGGTCCTGCACGTTCCTGAAGGAGAAGCAGCAGCAGCGTTGCCACATAACAATGTTGCATCTCTTCATAGGGCAGGTGTCACCAGCATCTCCTTATTAGACTCACTGCACACCTGAAAGAAACAGCCCTTGCCTCCTTCCCTGCTGCCCAGCTTCTAAGGGTTTCTCGGTTTCCATTACGGTACAGGCATGCAAACAAAGGATGCAAATCTTTGCAATGCAGAGGATATGTAATATGTTATCTCTCTCTCTCTCTCTCTCCTTCTCTCTCTCTCTCTCTCTCTCTTTCTTCTTGTCTCTCTTTTCTAATCTAGAGTTCTATAGCCATTTTTAAAGTTATCCATAAGAAATGTATTATGGGATCCAAACAACAGACATTTTTTGTTGATCCATAGGACTTTTTCGTTGATTCACACAACAGAACTCATTTATACATGAAAAAAATCTCTGTAATTTTAAATTTCAGGAGTTCAAAATACTGTGAATATATAGCCCTTATACCAGACCACAGTCCTGTGAAATAAGAGGCAAAAATATTATCCCACAAATGCACTACTAATGACCAGAAATTGGGAGGGGGAGTAAGTAGAGATAACCTCTAATTTTATTGGACTACATTGCTTTGTACTGGTGGAAAAATATTTGTTGAGAAGAATGGTGACGGAGAGAGAACAAGAAGGGGGTTTCTCAGCACTCAGGATATTGAAATCTGATGCTTTGCTCAGGCTTTGTATCTCTGGCAGAGAACCAGATGGGAAAGGAGAAAACCATTTTATCCTTGTTTGTGTCTTTGGTGGCTAACATATGTTACAAAAACAGACAACAAAAGGGGGTAGAGGAGACTACACTAACTGGTTTCTGCTACCCAGATGCATTTCTAATCCTTGGTCCTGGCGTGTGTGCAGCCAGATTTAAAGCCACACAAATGGTAAGTGAATTCAGATGATTGGAGCCTTGGCTGAGGGCATTATTTTTTTAATGTCAAGTACTTTTCCTCAAAGAAAATCTTTTGCTTCTGCAGGCTAAAGCACAGTGATATCAATATTGCAAATTCCTTTTTTTTTTCTTTTTTAAGTAAAATGCCAAGTATAACACAGGCAACCAGAGTTAAATTTCCTTGTAGTGCCTATGAGTACCTTGGAGCTGGGGAAGACCACCTTGGTGTGGGAAATGATTCATCATTCAGACAGCCCAGTCAGAACCTCTCTTGTAGTAAACCCTTCTGATTCAAAGTCATGGAGAAGTAATTAATAACTAATAAGAGCTGAGTGTGACGACTTATCACCCATCTTTGCAAATTCAGTCATTTAGAAATTCAACCACATCTAGCTTTGAATCATTTCCCGAAAATATTTTACTGTGAAAATAATTGGAGCTATTCTCATTTTTAGAAGTTATTTGTCTTGCTTTTTTTAGATTTAGATGAGTTAATTTAAATTATAAAATTTTAGAACATATAGAGGACTTAAAAATAATATAGTGCAATAACTCTATTACAAAAAAGCATAAAACTGAAGCTCGGAGAAGTTAAATTACTAATCCAAGTTTAAACATCTTAGAAGAAGCCCTAAAGTCTTCTCAGTTTCAACTCAGTAATCCTTCTATTTTTCTATCATGTTGCTTTATGAGATATAGCACTTTTTCCATCAAATAAAAGAAATCTAAATTTCTAGAACTTTAAAGGGAAATGATAACTAAGTGCTTTTTGACTACATTTCAAAATGAAATCCAGTTATTTAGAAAAAGCCCAGGAATTTCAGCTTCTGCATTGCACTCATGGTATTTTAGGCACTTCTGGGGCTTCTTAGGTCTCTGAAGCAACGGTCTGTGTCTTGTAGCCTGTAGTTTTCTATCAGGGTTTTATAACCTGAGGGCCATGGATGTCTAGAAGGGCCATTTATGGGCTTCAGAAGGCCAAGAACACCCTGAAGTGTCATACCAAATTTTATGAATATGTGACTATGGGTATTTTCTTGGGGAAAACTACTATTTTCATAATATACTCAAAGGGATCCATAAGCCCGCAGAGGTTAAGAATCAATGTCCTAAACAGAGTGCTTTAGGTTGTTGCCTTTGCCCTTCTTATATTGTGTTTTTAGTTTCTATATTACTAAAACTTGTGTGCTAATTTCCCACCCAATCTTCAAAGACAGTAACTTTAACATTTTTTTCTGCCTATTTCGTGAAATCATTGTTTTCCAAAAAGATTGTTTCTTAAGCTGTTTTTACTAGTTTAATAATAAATTATTAAAAATAAATAAATAATAAAAGTAACAATTTTATAATTATAAGCTCCATCCATTCTACTGATTAACCTTTATCCAGCAGAAGTGCTCTGGACTGGATTTGCTGGAGTGGTCACAAACTCCTTATTTCTCTCTCCACAAGTTATGGTGGATGTACAGAAGAACAGTTAAATGTAAAAGTAAGAGAACAGGAACCATGAGTTTCATCATGTCATTTCATCATGCCATTTCCTCTCATCAAAACTAAAACGAACTCAAACAAAAGGATCTTCATAATGAACTAAATAAAGTCCAAAACATCTGGAATTCAAAGCCATTCACATTTTTCCTCAAGACTGATCCCAATGCTCTTTCTTTTGCCTCTAAGACCTTCATGTCCCATCCTGACCTTCATGTCCCATCCTGACCTGTTGGAATCATGCTCTACCTCCAAGACCTAGCTAAATTTTCCAAGCACTCTTCTGGATTTTTCCAAAGGGAATTTTGTTTTCCTTTCTCTGAGTACATATCAAGATACCACTACTTTTTATGTCAGTCTGTCCTATGTCCTAATTATTTGTGTTCATTTCTGTGAAGACAGAAACTGGGTCTCACCCTTCTCGAAGTTTCTCACAGCACATACAACATTGGTTTGCACACAGTGATTTCTCAGCAAGATTATATTGGGTAGATAAGTCAACTTTACTGCCCTCTACACTTCTGCCTTTATAGTAGTGGTTCTTAAACAGGGGTGATTATGCTCCCAGGGGACTAGTGGCAATGTCTGGAGATATTTTTGGTTGTCTCAGCTGGGGA